AAAAAATGATTTTATACACGAGTCTACTCGTTTTCACTTCATAGAATCGTAAACTCGTACGCGTTTACGAGTGTACCCGCGAGTTTGACAACCATGTTTATAATTATATTATCTCTGTTTCATTTTGTTGTTCCTTTACTTTGATTCAATGTGTGGTGTGTACTTTGTGTTACAGATAGATGGGATTCGACCGGATGAATGATGAACGAGTAGTTAGAGGATAAATGATTCAAACCCAGACTTGTTACCGAGGCACCCCGGAAGTTGATACAACTAAAAACAATTGTCGGACGCAACTTGATGACACCGAACCGAGAGTGGAAGGTTGACCCAAACCAAAAAAGAAGCAGCATTATATGAGAAGTGCTTTGGAACCTGTAAGTTGTACCCAACATGGTGAACGCACAATAAGCCAAATATTACATCATCATGAAAGTTGAATCAGGTATGACTTTATCGCTTTGAATTTGCGTACGTTATACTCACATAACACTACATGAGAACACACACTAAGGAGATTTTTTTTTGTGTTTAGCCTTGAGCCTTTCAAGCCTTCCCTTCATTATGTTTATCCTTTGCTACCCCATGTTGAACCTGAATCCATTTGTTTTTAATAACCACCAACGTTAACCCATGGCCAAACACTCCCTGCCCTGCTCGGCATATGTGTTGCAGTTGTTAAATCTGTGCAAAGTTCTAAGTTTGGGGTAGTATGCCTACATTAAGAAAGGCAAGTGCGAAAAAAGAAGAAATATTTATATCATAAGAAGAAGAAAATGTGGAGAAACTAACATGTCTTCATAAGAAAAAAGAAGAAAAAAATGGCACTTCCCTAAGCGTCGATGAGTCACAAAATATGGCGTGATTAAATTCCCATGGTAATAAAACAAGCAAAGAGAAGAAATAACAACATCACAAATACTGAGCCTAAAAAAAAGTGTTGTGTATCATTTTCCTTGTTTATCCCACCGTACCTCAGCCTCGTCACAATTCAAAGACCTAAAAAGTGTGTGTAATCTATCTGTATAATGAAAAGAGAATTTATTCAAATTTAAGAGTTGGTATTACATAAGCTGAATTTTGAGTGAAAAACACTTTAACCCAGAGAGATTTGGTGAGAAGTGTGAAAAGCTTGCAGGTAAAGAAGTACTTCGATATGGAAGTGCAGCAGACAGTTTGTATCGGGAAAACTGAAACTTGACAAAAAGGTGAAAAGCAAGTTGCGAAAGACATTGGTTATATTGTGGTAAGAAAGAATTTTGGGGTGACCTTGTTTTGTCTCATACACTGCTCCAGGACAAGCAATGAGCTAAGTTTGGGGTTGTGATCGGTCACCCATTCTACTTAGTTTTCGTCAGTTATTCGGCAAGAATTCCGTTTAATCGGTAACACTTTGGGTTGTTTCTTTTTCGTTTCCTTTAAATAATTAAGTTTTCGCGTTCTGTTTGCTTGCATTGTTTTAGTTTAAATTTATGATAAATAAATTCTTTTAAATTCTTGGTCTGGTAGTTTTGGTGATTTCAGGTTCATGTGAATGATCAGAGGAATGAGTGCAAAGTCGGCTAAATTCAGGAAGATTTTTCTCAAGGTCAGAGGTCTGACACGGGTGTCCGTATCACTTGACACGGGTGCCCGTGTCAGGATGGGAAGAGGAGAGAAGCTGAAGGGGGCAACCAGTGGGCTGACATGGGTTCCCATGTCAGCATGTCTGTAGATGCCAACTTTGATTATCAAGACCAATGGGCCAACACGGGTGCCCGTGTCATCTGACCCGGCCCGTGTTTGGAAGAGCGAGCATATTTCTGATTTTTTTTGAAGTCTTGCTTGTGCTAGTTCATTAAAGGTAGTTTAGACATTGTGCATGGAAAGGAATGTCCTGATACTATTAAGACCTGATTTTTGGAAGAAAAAAGGGACTTTGGATCATACGAGAGAAACACGGTAGAAAGAGGAGAGCTCTGGAGAATTGGGAACAAGAGGAGATTTTCATCATCGGAAGAAATTGAAGATCAACTTTTATCACCAAGTCTTGTAATGTCTCTATTTTGTATTTGTTTTCGTTGAATATTATGCATAGCTAAACCCCCCAATGCTAGGAGGTGTCCCTGAATTGTTATGTAATGAACATCTTTTGAATTATTCAATGAAATTTTTCTTTCTTACCTTAATATTTTGTTATGCAAATTATTTAAAACTTTTTCGATCGTACAAATTGGGAACGATTTATGATTAGGGATTTGGCCTGAAAAACCAATCGTTTGTTTTGCATAATTCATTACCGTAAATATTTCCTAGGAATAGGGATATCATGTAATGATTGAAAGAAACCCTTATCAGAACTATTGCTTGATGTCCTTCCTTGACTGCTAAGGAATTAGGGTCAAGGAAGAATCTCAAAGGTTTTTCGGTTAAGGAATTTAAGAAAAATACTACGGAGGTACAATAAAAATTAAGGTTTTGAGGCATGTCTCGTTGATAGTAATTCAGGGTTCTTACTAAATAATTCGTACACTTCTTCTAGCATATTTTCTCATAATTATTAAAGTAATTTTATTATTCTTCTTTTCATTTGTCACTAAATTATTTAAAAATCACCAAACAAAACCCCCCAAGGATATTTTGTTTAATTAAAACAACACTTGTACTTACAATTGCACGCAGTCCTCGAGAGACCGATTCTGGAGATAACCCCGCTTATTACTACATCGTTAAAAATTAGAACACTTGCTAATTAACCGATCAATAACCATGCAAAAATACTGAAGAAAATAAATGAATTTCCTGCATAAGCTTTTATTTTTCTCAAGTTTGGTTGCCAAAAAGAGTGTTCTTATTTTTGTTATGCATCATATAATGGACCACTGCATAAGTGAATTAATCGAGTATATGGGTGTATAAATCTAGTACTTATGCTGAGGCCTCGGGGCAGGAGATTAATTTGAATAAACCTGAAGTGTTTTTAAGCCAACACATAAGTAACTCGGCCAAGGAAGATCTTTCTAGCATTATGGGAGTTCATCATGTGTTGAGAACTTGAAAGTATCTAGGTTTGCCCTCTATGATTGGTAGAAGTAAGAAGGCAACTTTCTCTTTTATCAAAGATCGTATTTGGAACAAAATTAATTCCTAGAGAGGTAGAGCTTTATAAAAAGAAAGGAAGGAATTTATGATAAAATCGGTGCTCCATGCCATACCGTCCTATGTTATGAGTCTGCTTATCCTCTCATATGCACTTTGTAATGATATTGAGAAGATGTTGAATTCCTTTTGGTGGGGAGGAGGGAGCAATAATAGGGGCATCCACTAGATGGCATAGGATAAGCTGGCTTGTTCCAAGAAGGAAGGTGGATTGGGATTTAGAGATTTTAAAGCTTTTAATACGTCCATGGTTTCTAAACAAGGGTGGAACCTGTTGCCCAAGCCTCAAGCTCTTGGTTCCAGAATATTCAAAGCAAGGTGGAGCCTTTGGGATGGTAGTCACATCAGGGTTATGCATGAGTCTTGGATCATGAGAAAGAGGGATGGGTGTTTGAGTGGTCCTCAAAAACAAGATGTTGAGGAAATCTTACAGGTACCTCTTATGAAGGAGGTCAAGGAGGATAGGATTATCTAAAAGGATGAATAAAATGGATCATATAATGTGTGTTCTGGTTATAGTTTATGGAGGATTCTATGGAGGAGGCATGTGAATGGGGGAGGGAAGAAGGATTGGAATAGTCTCTGGAATATTAGAGCCCCACCAAGGGTTAAGCACCTCTTGTGGAGAATTTATAAGAACTGCTTACCGACTCGTGCTAGACTCCGTCAACATCATGTTCAGTGTTCCTCTACTTGTCAATTTTGTGATGATAATCTTGAAGATTACTGTCATCTGTTTTTTGGTTGTAATGAGATTAACCATTTTTGGAGAGCAGCAAGTTTGTCATTTCTTATAGATGCTCGATTATATTCTTTTCATGATGCTAAATCTCTTCTTTTTTATATATGTAGTAAGGAGGGTAGGAAGAATGTTGGTAGATTTGCTTTTATGTTAGATGAAATATGGAAGAACAAGAATAACCACATTTGGCACAATGAACAAGAGGCAACCCCTAAACTTAGATGATTAACTTTTCACAAGTGGCCAGAATAATTTATGGCCCAAAAAGTTCGTGATCCCATTAATAGCCACCAATTTTCTACTACTTTGAGTCCGCCTAGGGAAGGTTAGTTGAAATGTAATGTGGATGCGACTTTTAATAAGCATAGAAGCACTTCTAATAGGGGTTGGTGTTTGCATGATCATAGTGGGAATTTTATTTCAGCAGGTATGGCTTGGGATCTCGAAACTATGTCTGTACTTGAAGCTGAAGTTATGGCTCTTAAAGAAGCAATTCACGAAGTCATTGTCTTGCATATGGATAATGTGGTTTTCGAATGTGATTCTCAAAAAGTTGTTCAAGTCATTCACTCCAGTCATACCGGTGGTTCAGAGTTTTATGTTATTCTTAATTCTATAAAGCCTTGTTATTTGTTAATTTAAATTTTGAGATAAAGTTCATTAGATGTCAAGAGAATATGATTGTCTACTCTCTTGTTAGGGCGGCCAATTCATGAATTAGGTGTAATTCGTTTGACTTAGCTCCTCTTTATATTAAACACTTACCGATTAATGATATTCATCAAATTTGTTTTGGTAAAAAAAAAAACAGTACATCTTAAATCTGAATCATAAAAGTTTTAGGTGTATCCTTGATGTTCAATTTTAGTTGTGAGGTTATTATTAATTTTTACATAGTAAAGACAGAAGAGGAGCTTAGAAGCAAGGGACATAATAGAAGGTAAAGAGTGGATCAGTAGTTCCTTATATCTCTCTGTTATTTTTTGCAGTGTCCCAATCTGTCAGATATCCAAATTAATTGCTCTCTGCACCTTCTCACGCACACAATTAACTCTACCGCATCTTTATATTCTCGCTCATTTTTTGAATCCTTTCTTTTCACTTCAACCACCCTAATTCTATGGCCTCGCCATCTTGCAAACCACAGAAAAAACTTTCAGATTTTCTAAATGAACATCAAGAACCTTTCATCTTAGAACTTCACTTGTTAGAAAGATCAAATTCCTCCAAAACATTTACTTCAACTTCACCCCAGAATTTCGAAACACCTACAACTTCTTGCTTCTTAAACAAAAAGAGAAAACCTCTCTTTCCATTTTGTAAAATTTTAACATGTGTACACAAGAAGAAGCTTCCAGCAACAATCAAGAATTCCGACACAGCAAATAAACATCCCAACGTTGGTGTCACTATCACTCACGAGGCTAACAACGTTGATCGAACACAAACAGCTACCGAAACAGATCGTGTCTCAACTGCTAGCAGCTCCACCGTGTTCCATTCATGCTCAGATATTGATGATGAAGAAGAAGACAGAACTTCCTTTTCGTCTCACAAGTATCATAATCCTCTGTTTTCTTCAGACACTGTCTGCAACATAGAAATCCAAAGGTATGAATGAAATCAAATTCCGATTTACGTAATCTTTGAATTTGAATATCTAATAAAAAGACTTGTCGATTAACTATGTTACCATTATGAACAAATTAAGCCAGCAAGATACCGACAACAGAAAGTGCCACCAGAGATGTATAAAAGGTAAAGTTACTTTAATTCTGTTACTGTTCCAACGTTTGTTTATTTATTTTGTTAATACATGTGTGTAACTGTTTTTTTTTTAATTATATCAGTGTGTGTGACACATGAAACATTGAACAAGGATGTTTGTGTTTGCGGTATGGCTGTGCCTAAGGAATCTCTATTATCAGCTGCTATATTTAGTTCACTTATTCATACAGCAAAGAGAGATCAGAAGATCTATACTAAACAACTGCGACAGATTCTTGAACATAAAAGAGTGCTGTACAAGACAAAGAGGTTATTATTTGATTTTGTTAGAGAATTCACCAAAAATATGAAGAAAAAAGATTGTAAGCAATTGATGGGAGGTGAAAAGTTGGGAAAGATAATATGGAAAAGAAGAAAAGAAGGTGGTGGAAATTATGAGACAAATATTAGTAATTTGCTGAATTTGGATTACTTGGATTCAATGAATGAATGGAGTGAGTTTAAGACAGAGATGAAAGATGTTAGTATTGAGATTGCTGAAGCAATATTGGAACGTGTAATGAAGGATGAAATTGATATTTTGCCACCAACCACACAACAAACTTGATTTATGTTGTTGTAATGTTTTATTACCATAAACTTAAATGATGTGTTGCTTTCTTTCTTTTTCGAATTGAAAATTTGAAACATCAAACGTGTTCCAAAGGATTCAAAATGAATATGATTTTGATGATTCATTTGTTTTGGTAGGTGTCATTTATTGATTATGAGAATGACATTTGAATATATCCTTTTTTACCGTACATTTGAATGTATCCTTTGGATAAACAGTTTCATTTCTTTTTGAATCGGTTATTTTTTGTTTTTGATTCGGTTGTTATTGAAAGACATAAATGTACATAGGATATGGACATTTAAACTACCTAAAGGAACCCCATAGACCCTAGAGTGTTTATACCTTTATATCTCTATTATATGGTTAGTTTGAAATCGAAATTGGCTTTGTGGGGACAAAGTTATGATGCCTTCACCCACTACCGCCGCTGCCAATCTGCTATTAACATTTCCATTAAAGATGTGTTTTGCCTTCATAAGGGGGTGTAAGAGTCTCACAATTGGGTGAGTTTATATTCAAATTCATACAAAACTCTTTCTATAAAATTTTAGATTTAATTTTTCAAACTATTCTAAACCTGAATAGGAAACTCGTAATTTTTCAAACTATTCTAAAGCTGAATAGGAAATTCGTGATAGGTTAGTGATGTCCATCATTGAAGACCTTGGATATAGTGATGAAAGTCTTAAGTTGGTGAAGAGGTGATGTATATGTTAGTACTCCAACATCAACTTAAATGAAGTTAGATAGAAGGAACTAGCAAATGTGTAATGAATTGTACATTGGTGTGAAGCGGAGTCATCTCTATATATGAACAACGGTTAAAATCATCATCGATGAACACATATATGATAAGTGTTACATGGCATTGATATTATAACTAAAGTCTGAGATAGGTGGTGACACATATTATATTTAAATGATTTCTTTAAAGAATAGTAGAAGCGCATTTGATATGCTTCCAAAATCTATATCTATTTGTGTGCTTTTGTTGTTAGATGACATGTTTAGTAGCTCTCATGCCACATCACTCTTTATACTAATGTGTCCACGTTGAGAATGTCATATTCCAAAATTTGTCCTACTTTTTTTTCTTCATTTTTATTTGGCTTCATCTACGTATTCCTTAGCATCATAACACATTTATTTTACCATTTGCATTAAACATCATGGTATCAAAAGTGTTTCGAACAGACCCGATGGCTAGGTATGGCCCAATCCACTTCTACTCCCAAAATAACCCAATAGTCTAAGTCCTGCCTGTTAAGGGCAAAGAAAAACATTTTCTCCTTTACCCCTCTGCTGAGGAAGGTTGGTCAGCTGACCTCTAGGAGCAACTGCTCCTCGTCACATTTATGTCCGTCACGCACGGTTCCACCATCCATAAACAATCACGACAGTCGTGTCTGCGACCACGCCGTTGCCCGCGGCAACGTGTAGTTCCGAGCATCTCTGCCCGTCCCAACGACTAGTTTTTGGAAGTTACCTATTCTTTGGGAGCGAATATCTCGTCCCGAAAATAGAGACCAATGGTCAAGCACCGGGGGCATTATAAAAACCCTCTCACTTGAAAAGGTCAGGTATTTTAAATCATTCTAAATCACCCTAAGACACATTATCTTTGTACTTGCCTTCTCTTTTCCCGATTCTTGCAGGTACACCCCCTCCTCATCTTTGAAACCCAGCATCGCAGATGAAGTCTCTGGCCCACTTTAGGTTCTGATCAGCCGTCAAAATCAATGGCACCATCTGTGGGAAACTATGTTCTCCCCGTCTTTCTTTTCTCGTAAATTCAAAACCAAAGCAGTTCTTTCAAGATTTCGTTCATTGCCAGCCATGACAATGTCCACGATGCTCGCAATGCCATCACCCACGTTAGCAAGACAGACACTTACAACACAATCCTTTTTCTTGGGAGTGATGTCCATCAGCAAAGAGGTGGGGCCACCGCGTCTCCCTCCCCCAATCGCGCTGACAAAGTAGAGGTTCAGCCCTCCGAAGACCGCCAGACCGTCCCAGTTCCGCCCAACGCCGACCCGGCCATGACGGCCCTTCTCGAGGCCCTCAACACAACAAATCTTTTGATCCTCTAGTAGAACGTAAGAATTGGAGCCTTAGAAGAGTCTTGTTGACCAAGATATCCTCCACCGAGGAGAGAGCGTCAGAGATCTCAGAGTCCTTCTCCCAAATGAGGAAGAGACCGTCGGGCGCCAGCAGAGTCAGACTCTCTGGCTGTGAGAAAGCGCGACCATACCTCCCCCTAGAACCAGCACTCCCCAAGGGCTAAGAGAAATAAAAGGGATATACGGACAGAGCATCATTGTTCTCCTCCAAGTCGTCCAAGTCGCCACGATCGACGATATGAAGAAGTACTTGCTCGAATGCGAGCTCCATCCCTGCACTGAATTTTCCAAGGTTGTTGGCATTGAAATCTCCGCAATCCTGGATGCCCTCCTCCTCAAGGCGCGGGAAAACATCCCGTATGAAGAGAGCGAAGCGGCCAACACTGCCTAGGACTCTAGGCGCCAGGAGAACGCCAAGTTCTCGAAGCACGATGAAGCCTCGGCATCTCGTCGAGGAGTCGAGAGAAGACGGGATGACCGCCCCTGGGAATCCCGGGATCATAAAGGGCCGTCTGGTCGATTCCACGATTACACTCCATTGACCGTCTCTTGCAAGAAGATTCTCTCCGAGTGCGCAAACTCGGAGTTCCGGAAAGTAAGGGTCCACTTCCCGAAACAGATATTGGCCAAGCCAAACACAGATAAGATGAAGTATTGTTGGTTCCACAAGAGCCACAGCCATATGACCGACAACTGCATCCATCTGAAGAATGCAACTGAGATCTTAATCATGGATGAGCACCTGAAACAATTCTCCAAGAAGAAGGATGCTCCTCGGCAGGATGCCCAGGAGTCAAAGGTCGAAGAGGAGGCGCCTTCCTCGGAAGAGACCAGTCTTCATGTCGCTATGAGCATCTCGCGGCCAGAAGACTCCTACATCCACGAGGGGCTCAACATCCCTCCTTACTTCACTGCGCACAGCCCCTGGGAAACCTTCCCCTCCGCCATGGTCATCTCGGGAGGGGGATTCAATAAGGTGACCATGGGATCCGTCATTAGAAAGTTCGAGCATCTTATCAACACAAGCTCAGTCTGGAGTTCTACACTTGATAAGGTTCGGGGAGAGTCGGTCCCCATCACCTTCTACCGTGAAGAACTCCTCGGTGGAGCTCCTAACTCCAGCATTCCTCTGCTCGTGAAGGCGCAAATAGCCAACTTCGACGTTCGGCGCATTCTGGTCGACCAAGGAAGCTCGGTTGACATCATGTATTCCCAACTATTCTTCACCCTTCAGTTGGACGAAACGCACCTGACGCCCTATGTAGGATCTAATTTACAGGGCCTTAACGGGTCATTCACAAAGCCATGGGGGTATGTGGAGCTGATAGTCACCTTTGGGGTGACAAAAATAGCCAGGTCCATAAAAGTCCAGTTCTTGGTCATTGACTGTCCATCCCTCTACCAATGCATATTTGGACGACCAACTCTGGCCGAACTGGTAGTCATACCATCGACCGTGCACCTGAAAATGAAGAACTACACTTCCAAGGGGCTCGTGGCCGCCCTGCACAGAGACATCAAAGCAGCGAGAAGGTGTTTCGAGGCAGCCTCGAAAGGAATGAACACGATCTCCGCCCGGCCAAAGACTCCCAGCAAGCCTACTCTTCCTTGCAGCTCCAAAGAGGCAAAGTCGCTGCCCCACGTCAACTCTATCGACCTCGATAGCCGTTTCTCCGAGGAAGATTTGAGGGACCAGAAGTGAAAGGGGAAGGAGATCCATCCAAGCTTGAGAAGCCCTTCCACATCATCTAGTAGCGGCCAGATCACTCATCTGATGCGGCCAATCTCAAATGGCAAGTTCAAACTAGTCCTGCTCGGTGACGACCCCTAGAAAGGAGTGAAGATAGGGACCGGCCTCCCCGACCTTGCGAGGAAGCAGCTCAAAGTATGTCTTCGAGAGAATGCAGATCTGTTCGCATGGAGTGCCTCAGAGATGCCCGGGCTAGATCCTGAGGTGGCCTGTCACCAGCTCGCCATCGACCCCACCGTTAAGGCAGTAGTTCAACATAGGCGAAAGTAGTCTCCGAAAAAAATGGAGGTTGTCGAACAAGCTGTAAAAGACCTCTTAGAGGAAAATTTTATCTCGGAGGCCAAGTACACTACTTGGATGTCTAATGTTGTACTTGTAAAGAAATCAAATGGAAAATGGTGAATGTGCATTGACTACACCGATCTTAATAGGACCTTCCTTAAAGGCGCATATCCCCTTCCCAACATAGATAAACTAGTTGATAATTTTGATGGTTTTAAATTGTATCGTTCATGGACGCCTATTCGGGCTACAACCAAATACCCATGGCCAAAAGCGATGAAAGGTACACAACTTTTGTGACCGAATCAGGCAACTATTACTAAAACGTAATGCTCTTCGGCTTGAAAAACGTTGGCGCTACCTACCAAAGAATGATGAACAAAGTCTTCCGAGGAGAAATTGGGGATGTGCTCGAAGTTTATATGGACGACATGATCGTGAAATCCCATGAGGAATCCAATCACACACTCCATCTGAAGAAAGTCTTTGAGCAGGCCAGGAAGTACAAGATGCACTTCAACCCTGAAAAGTGAACGTTCGGAGTACGGGCAAGCAAGTTCCTCGGTTTCTACCTAACAGAATGAGGAATTGAAGCCAACCCTGACAAATGCAGAGCCTTCTCCGAATTCCCCACATTGAATTTAAAGAAATAGATCCAATCTTTGAATGGGATGCTCACAGCGTTGTCGCGTTTCGTGGAAAAATCAGCTCAGCACGTGCTCCCTTTTTTCAAACTCCTCCGCAAAGACGCGGCCTTTGAGTGGACGAAGGAATGCAACGAAGCCCTCCTCCACCTAAAAAAAGCGATGTCAGAACCATCAGTCCTCTCCCGACCA